GCTAGGGTTTGGCTGCTCCTGGTACTGGTAATCAGATTTGACCTTTTCATGATTACACTGACACCCTTCAAGAAAAGCTGCTGATGTGGACCAGGAAGCCAACTAGGGCACAGCAAAATACAATCAGGGCAGCTGAGCCTTTTCCAAGCCAGTTCTTGTATTTTCTGTGATCTGGTAACAATATTTTCTCTCCTGGTTTGATGAATGAATTGTCTCCCATGCAGAACTTGTCCACTTTGCTTAATTCTGACAACTGAGCAATTGATTGTACTTTCAGATTCCTGGGTGATTGGAACTCTTTTTTCATTTGATGGATTTCTGAAAAAGTGATTTTAGAAAATTCAATACTATATAAGTCACAGGAAATTCATGAATGAATTTTTTGGTATCTCCTGCTTTTTAATATGTAGCCAAGGAAGTTAAAATGTATATTCAATGGCTTCATGCTGCTGTGCAATTTTTAGCACAGTTCATCTTTCATACAAAAAGAAATGAATTTTCATCTCAAGAATCAAAATATAGGAACCTACAGGATATTCCAACCATTTGTGGATTGATTATTATCATGAAATACTGCATTTTAAAAATATTGCTGGAAATCTGAATTTTCATTCATAAAATAGAAACTATCTCCAACTGCCTTTGAATGATGAAATTTATTTGTATTTCCAGGCTTCTGATTGATATGTCAAATGGCCATATATTTTCCATAAAATTCCAACTTGAAAAATATATGCTGCATTTGCAAGTGGATAGTTTCAACATAAAGTATCACCTTTCATAGTTTTGAGATTGATTTAAAAAGCATTTTTCAAATGATTCAAAATTGTTTTGCATAGGTGCAGCTGTATTTAGGGACAGCTTTCCCACAAGTTGCCAAAATATCCATGTAATATGAAAGAAATACTGAAAATGTATCAAAATATTGGCAAAAGCTAATAAATTCAACATTCATTTGAGTCCAGGAGTACACTTTATGCATGCATACATTTTAAATTGAAATACAGTAATGCTTCTTTTGAGGCTGATGCAAAATATTTGATGCCAGAACTCAACAATACAGCATAAATTTTCACTTCACATAAATTCAACTATCCCTCCAACAGAGGAAAAAATGGCCCATTTGAATGCAATAACATTAAGATGAACAGGAAGAATCTGCAGCATCACACATATCAGGTTTAGATTATTCAATACAAACCATTTCCTTTCACACCATTTGGAGGTGATGAAACCCTTGGAGAAGACAAGGTGCTCCTCACAACATGGATGTCTTTACCTTTAGAGGCATTCCAAGATGGGGCAAGATCTGCAAGCAAGGGGATCCAAATTCAAGTGAAGCAGAAATAATGCCAACAAAATCCCCTTACTGATTTCTTTATTTTTTAGGGATTCCACAGCAGATGATGAAGACCAGTCAAAATCCTCAGAATAGATTCCAAAGATCTTTTGCTTTGCCCAGTGA